GTAATAATCCGCATAATACAAAATCACATAATACAAAATGTAAACACCAATATGCATAACCATTGTTTAAAACATTGATTGAAGTTAACATGTCACTACATATATGAGCTTAGATGGTAGTACAACAAAATACACCAGAAGCGCGACAGTGGATCACTAGATCATAAACGATAAACTTATGATGCATTGACTCTCTTATCTGTCAAAACTTGTGACTCTTGAGTGATTATGGTGATCGCAGTTCTTGTACATTCAAAATAGAGTAAATTCTATAATTAGTTCTTTATAACATGAGTTTTTTCATATTTATCCATTCCGTTCAACTTATTTTTGCTGATCTGATTTGATTTTTTGTAGATCTCATCTGATCTGATCTGATTAGATCTAATCGGATTTGATCTGATTTGTTTGGATTTGATCTGATCTGATTGAATCTGATTTGATTAATTATGATTTGATTTAAAATTCAAACCAATATTTGATCTGACTTTATAATAACTTTTGAAAATTGTAATGATAATTTATATTATAATATAATCAATATATTTTATTTGCACTGTATCCATTTTTTTAATTTGAATTCTACTCGAATATTTTCTCCATAATTTATTCTTAATTTAGTCTTTTCAAAAATTTAATCCAGCTTGTGATTTGTACTACGAAACTTTTTTTATGATTAATATAACATCATAGATATAATAGTTATTTCAGTTACACTAAAATATACTCCGTATATGAATATCAAATGTTAATTTTATTTAAGTCTCGATCAAAGTTGATCAACTCGATGTATTAAAAGATCAAAACTTTAGAAACTCAAATTACAGGTAGCAATAAAAATGTATTTTAAAAATAGAATTAGATTGACATTGTCAATGTATTTTAAAAATAATTTTTTCGATGTTTAATAATTAAGGATTACTTTCTCAGTTTTCTATTTAACTTGTTTCTAAAGCTTATTCTTTTTCATTTTTGAGAAAAACATTGTGCTTCGTATCATTTTATTTTTTCTCTACATAAATTATAACCGTACAAAAGTTTCATTTTCTTTGTTCTTATATTTTTACAAGAGAAATTAAATTTATTGTTTGAAAGAATTGTATCAAATGAAACAAGTAAAAAGTATGGAATTTAAAAAGTATGGAGTAATAACGATAATGATAATGATGATGATGATGATGATGATGCCGATGATGATGATGATAATAATAATAATAATAATTCCTAATAATAATAATAATTCTTGATTATATATGATATGATCTGGTCTGATTTGATTTGATTAGATTTGATCTGGTCTGATCTGATTTGGTTTTAATAAGAATAAGAAAAAAAGCAAAAAAAAAAAATAAGTTGAACGGAGCGGAACCTTAGTCCTCTATTTCTAAATATTATGCCCGTGGTCCTTGAGGACTAAAAGTGTAATTTCAAAAAGTCTTTTTTAGATCTTCTGTCATGTTGGTGTTAATTTGAGGACTAAAAGTGTAATTTCACAATACTCGTATATATATTTCTTTCTATATCCAATGCAAGAAGTCACTCCTAATGTGTCGTTTGTGACACGCATTTGCTGTCTATAAAAACCATAGTCTGACTCTAGATGTCATCTCTGGTCAGAATCTTAGTTCACAGACATACGTAGTAGTAATTATTGTTGTGTTGTAGGTCTAGCCGACATCATGATACGTCATTGGACATAGAGTTGATGTTAAACTATAATTTTAGCTCTCAAATTAACACCAACATGACAGAAGGTCTAAAATACTATTCGTGGAAAGGTAGTCATAAAAAAGAACCACAAACGTAATATTTGATAATAGAGGACTAAATATGAAAAAACCATATTATAAGGAATCAATTATAAAATTTACTCTTAAAATAGCAATATATATTTGTTTATGATACAACTCTGTTGCTTTCGGTTGGAAAAATTAACACCCTCCAACTCTTTCATGTTTCTTTTGGCTCCTTCGAGTTTTTTCTAGTTCTTCCATTACATCCAACGAATTAAAAAAATATATTTACATATGAAGGCCATACAATAATATTATATATCCAAATTTAGAACATAATACCGCAAATATGGATAAAGATGATGATGGGATTAACCCGATCAGATGGCGGACCAAGAGCAAGATATGAATTAGGAAGATATAATCACTCGATAATATTCTTTTATTGAGTCTTCAATTGTCTCTCCCCTTACAATGGCGGGTTCTCCCCCTTTTTATAGTATCTCTAATAATATAATTAAAATTATACAAAATGGAAAGGATTATGGAGATCGTGGGGTCGTGATTCCTTCTTTTCTGATCTCGTTCTCTTCCCACTCTGTCTATGACCCAATGACGTGGGCCACGTGTCCCACTCCCTTCTCGGACTGGGTCACCTTTATTGATCCCATGACTGGGCCGTCTTTCTCTAGCTGCCATATGCGCACTAATGGGCTCGGCCCATTATCTCCATCTGTCCTCCTTACACCTTTTGGGTTATTACAGGCCTTTATTTGAGCCTGGAGTCGGGTCTACCAGACCCGATATCCATCAGATGAATTCTTTTTAATGTCCAAAATTAGATTTTAAACATATTTATTTGGGTGCTCATGTAATTGAGCGGTTAGCTTCTTTTGACAACAAGTAATGTTATCAAAACATCACAACAACTCCAATTAGATCATCCGACGTGTTCCGTTCGTAAAATTGATGGTTTATATCCCCCTCGATACCCCAAACCCCCACCACAGCCCCCCTAGATGGCTGATTGGGTGTCAATTTATTTTAAAATGAGAGTAACAATGATAAAGATAATAAGGCCAAGCAGTATAGTTTTTGTCTTCTCGGCGTCCCGTCCATATACGCTCCCAACAACCACATCAGTGCCATCGCCATCGCGCTGGAGGGGTGGGTGTGCCTTATGTAGGAAATGGAGAGAAGAGAGGAAGAAGAGAAGGGAGGAAAAAAAAAGAAGAAAGAAAAGAAAAAGGGCTGCGGGAAAAATGGGATAGGCATGTCCGAGAACTGGAACCGTGTTCAACTCTACTCCTACCGTACAATTCTCAGTCTTAGAAAAGAATCATGAAGAAAACAATTGAGGTAATCTAGCTAGCTCTCCAGTGAGCTCGAACACGGGTCGATATTATTAATGCGAGTCTAGAACTAGTTGGCAATTCAAATAAGAATGGAGTCTCTGTGAAAGTAGTTTGTTGCTGCTGTGACTCGTCTATGACCGTTTTTTTAGCGAGAGTTTTATTGTAATTTATCGATGCGGTTCAGGTGAGAATAGGGGTGGGTTCGGTTTTGGCGGTTCGGTTTTACCCAAAACCAAAGACAAAACGGAAGGTAAATTGGTGGTTCGGTTCGGTTTTGCATAAAAAATATGAAAACCGTTTGTTATTCGGTTCGGTTTTTTACCATTTTTATTTCGGTTTTTTTTTGTTTTTTCGGTTTATAAAAGTAGAAATTTATAAGCATTAAAAAATTATAAAACACTAACTCGATGAAACAATAAAAATATGTAGTGTTAGCTTTGGTTTTTTTTGTTTGATTTTTACACAAAAACAAAAAACCAAACAGAAGGTTATTGCTCCTTTTAGTTTAATTTTACATAAAAAAGATGTGTGGAGGGCCAACAAACATTTAAAAGATTCTAAATACTTCCAAAGACATCGTATGTAAAATCAATTATGAAGAATTTATATTTTTTGTATAATACTTTCAATTTCATTATAACATCAAAGTATTTTTTATGTAAATATGTAAATTACGCATATCAATTTTTAATCTTAATATGATTCTATATTAGGATTACTATTGGTGTTCATATATATTCTTAAGTTTTTTAAAGTTTATAATAATATGGCTAGAATATTTAATTAATAGATAAGAAAATAATTTAAATCGACTAGTAATTTATTTGTATTTATATTTCTATGATTTTTCTACATATCACATATATTCATATAAATAAAGTGAAGTATCTAAAAAAATTCGGTTTATTCGGTTCGGTTCGGTTTTTCAAAGTGAAAACCAAAACGGAACCAAATACTAACGGTTCGGTTCGGTTTTTTTACATTCGGTTTCGGTTTTTTCGGTTCGGTTTTTTACTAGCTCGTTTATAAAACATCATTCTCAATTGATTCAAAATTTATATACTTTACGAGAAAGATTCTTTGAAGCCATTCTTGTTGGCCAATATTAGTTTTACGAGAAAGATTCTTTGATATTGACCACTAATGTCATAGTTAGGGATGGACACGGTACCGTGACCGGCAATAGTACCGCCGGTACCCGCCACCGTCACCGCCGGCCGGGACGTTCCACCGGTTCCGGGAACCGGTACCGGCACCACCCCCCACGGTACCGGTACCCATTTTTCGGTACCGGCACCGGCGGTACCGGTTCTGGTTCCGGTTCCGGTACCTTTTTATTTTTTTTGTCCAACGGCTCCAGCTCCACGTTACTCTCAATTGTTTAATATGAGGAGAAAATGAAGAACAAAGCAGCAGAGATTCACAGGGAAGCAGAAGAGAGAAGGGCACAGGTTGAGGCCGAGAAAGGGGAAGGAATGCTCAAGTTAGAAGAGGCTGCTTCCAATTTCCACTCCAACGGATACGTCCCCCATACCCTCCGTTGTTGCCTTTGTTGTTGCTGTTGTTGTCGTCCCTGCTAGCTTGCTGCTATCAAAGCAAAAAGCAAAAAAAAATTAATTTGGGGGTGGCCGGTCCGGTACCGCCGGTCTGGGTACCAGAACCGGTACCGGCCGATCCGGTCACGGTACCGGTACCAAGGGGTGGCGGTTCCGGAACCGGAACCGTACCGTGTCCACCCCTAGTCATAGTATAACATTAGCGCATTTGAGGCACCTTCGATACTTCATTATACCCATAAAGTTATTTTTATATAATTTCCATAGTTCTCTTTTAATCAACTCGTTGAAAGACTCATTTTATTTTGGACGAAAGTTCGGGCATATGAAAAGAATTTCTTTTAGGTCAACGGTCAACCACAAGTCAAGATTTAATTTTTAACGTGTAAATTATAGATTTCCACCAAGAATTTATACATAAGCATCCATCTATGAGATAGGAAAATATAACCTAAATAAATAGATTTAATCCAATGCATTAATTAGTACATGAGGTACTCATTTTGGAAGATGTCCAAGCGTCATTAATAGAGAAAGCCAAGTTGACTTCTTCATTTCCATAATTCTAACGGTCTATTTGCAAATCAAACCAAAGAACCAAACACAACTTTCACTAGAGATTATTATGGAGAATAACTTGCAACTCCCACTAAACAAGATTGTGGTTTCTATAAAAAAATTCCACCGCGCATAGGCCACCCAACTTCATCCTCAATCTCCTTGGCAATGGGCTTCACAACACAATAACCCTTTGTTTTTGAGCAAGAAGTTGTGTTCAATAGTCTTGTATCTCTCCTCTCTCGCCCTTCCATTTTAGCAGATCTCCTCCTCAGGTTTTGCCTCCTTTTCATCATCATGTCACTCCCATTATTCATCCTTTCCCTGCTAGCGCGAGAGCTGCGGCGCATTGGAACCGGTAATGCATCCAAACCCATCAGCTTCGCCACCACACCCGGTTTACACCACATCACCTGTTCTCCTCCTATCTTACTTGGCAAGAATCCCCTTCTCTCTGCTACGAAATCGACGGTTTCCCTGTTTCGGAAAGATGACCGGTACAGAGCATCTTTCCCATCCAGTGAGAACCTTGGGTACTGGTCCAGTGCGCTCCGTGCGGCTCTGAGGATATCTGAGCTGTTTACGCATGACATTCGGTGTCTGATTACATCCCTTCCCAGCCTCTCCTCCATGTCCAGCTGCAATAACATTTCTTCCAAGGTTGGGTGGGGACCACCCCTCTCGCCCTCAAAGTGTGGGAGCGTGGCTGCCACATCGGACGACAGGTCGGCAGCTACGACCGGGCGACGAGCATCAACAAGGCTTTGCTGGTTCAGGGTGGAGGTAGAGCCATCATTGTTGCAGAAGTTCTTGAACCCTTTTCTAATCTTGGCTCCGAAGGCGTTCTTGAGGAGAAAGAATGACAAATCTCTCATGTTTCTTTTTTTCTCTCGAGAATGATAACCGAAGATCAGGAACGAAGACTACTTGTGGGAAAAGAGTAGATCAAGGGTGAGATCTGGTGTGTGAAGGCCATGAAAGAAGATCATGGAGGAGGCATGAATGGGGCTGAGCATTGATTATGAGACTTCAAAGCAATCACATGATAAAAGATGGGGAGGAGTTTCACATGATATCTCTCCCTCTGGCAAGTCAACATGCAACAAATGAGTAATAATTTATTAATGAAAACAAACAATGTGATTTAGCTATTATTGTGCAAAGGGGAAGGCAGCTAAAAACACTACAAAAAGATTACAGTTATAAGAAAGCAGAATGTAGAAAATATTTACATCCAAGAGAAAATACTGCAAAGGGTTGGACCTAAGAAAAGTGATCCTCAAGTGCACAAAACAAAATTCAATAATCTGCAGCTTCTGTGGCCTTCACAAATCGACCCTTCACCCGCTTCCTCTTATCGGCTCTTGCTTTTCTTGATTCGTAGCGGATGTGCTTGTCATATCTATAGAATAACAGTAACTTACATTTTCACATACATACATACATACTTACATACACACACACACACATATATATATGCATGCAATATGGATTGGTTATGGTGAAGAACCAAGAAACAAATGTCAATTTTTGAAGGTGGCATGAGTATAGCAACTATCTTTCAACTAATTGCTCCTTTCATAGTATTTTTGTAGAGTGCAAAAAAAGTAATGATGTTGGTGGTCTAAAATCTGTCAGATTTTATACACAAATTCCTCATTTATAAGGTTGTGAAAAGGACGTCGTCCGACATAAAACATTGCCTCTATGCTTTTTGCATGAATTTATATTACTATATTCATTCCAAAAAAAGAAAGATCATGTTTCATCAAGGAACAACTTTTAAAATAGTAAGGTACAACTTTTGAAAACCATCAATTCTAACTATATTTGTACGATTTATTCATTGGTTTAATTAAATGTACATGCTTAACCTGTTATGAAAAAATACATTACATAAAATGAAATAGGACTCGTTTTTTGGTCAAAATAAGTTTTGAGAGATGACTCTTTCAGGGAGGAATGATTATTAAATAATTTTAGACAACTAATTGACATGATAAATTAGTTGAACCCAAGCCCAAAACAATTGGGATTAAGATGATGGTGATGAATAATCTATACCTCCTTGTTTTCTTTTTCTCCTTATACCGTTGCATTGCATTTCCTCTGTTTTTGGCAAGCAGCTCTAAGTCTGCCTTCGTCATGGATGGTGATGCAATTTCGCTTTCTGCTAGAGCCAACTGGTACATAAATTGAATGTCGATTGAATGGCAATTTGGTTTACCGTAGTCGGAAAGCGAAGAAGGTCGCGCCCTTTGTAAATTGTTTCTCTCTGATGCAGCCGTTGTCCCCTGTCACGAAACATAACACAAGTGCTTGGCTTCATCAGAGACAAATGCACTTTGATAGGTTAGACAGAATTATATTTTCGTAATATTTAATCGTGAGATTCCGGGTATGTTTGGATTTTCACCCAATAAGAGAAGAAAAGAAAAGATAAGAAAAGGCTTACACTAAGATTTGTTATGTCATCATCATGAGTGACTGAGAAGTTCATTGGAGTGAGTTGCAATGCCTTTGAAGTAGTTAAGGATGTTTCTTTTAGGAGTTCATTGTAGCTTTTCATCATATATGTCATGTCATTTGAACCATAGCATGCTTCTGTAGGGCTCGATTCGTCATGTTCCCTTGACTGCCCCAGATTAAAATCCCATATTTGCTGCATTGAGAAATTGAAACCAACTAAGTTTGGAATAAAATCTATGAAAAGAAGACACTTTGCTTCTTATGATATTCAAGAAAGATTTCCAATTGCATTCACCAAATCTAATAACAAAGTTCATAAATTTATTTCTATGATTGCTCAGAGCATCTTGTCTCCCTGATCAGGAAGGTTAGAAACCACACAAACAAAATTCGAATCAGTTGGATAAGGCTATGCAATGACAGAAAGCCTACAAAAAAACCTTTTTCCCTTTATTTCTATTCCACTGCTCGTAGGCGAATTGCTTCATGAAACCAGAGAAAAAAACACCATATATCTACAAACCAAACACATCTCTATGACACTAACTTGAAGGACATGTAGCCATAATAACAACTTGACTCAGTTTTATGCACTTATCATTTTCTTTGTCTCTTCAACTCTGTAAAAAGGATAAATTGGAGGACCTATTTTCCTGAACCTTTTCATCACTCAACACATCAAGTTTAAGGCATGTTTGGTAATAGCGTTAGCGTTTTGAAAAGGCTATCTACGTGTAGCGTTTTCGAAGTAATTTCTACCGTTAAAATTTTACCCAAAACGCTAACGCTAATCTCTAACGCTATACCCAAATAGTCCCTTAATAAATGCAAAAACAAAGATTCAAATATCTTCAATTTACTGTTACTAAGGCCAATGCGGATGAGATCCAGACGGCTCGGATCATACTAAAAGAACACTAGCTTAGAGCCCATTTGGTGAAGAATTCTATAACCTGAGAGGGAAATTAAATATAACCTGGGAATTACGAGAAGAGGTGTTCCAGAACAGGTTCCCTTCCACTTGACTGTCTTTCGGAATCATTGGAGCCTGCTGCATCATGAGCAAGGAAGTAAAGGGCACATTCTGATTTAGTTCAAACTCCTGACTCATAACCAGCATCGCCTCGTCGCCTCCTCCCTCCATCATACTCTCATTTTCGTGCCACCCGCTATCTCCGTTCGGCGTCTTTGGCACTATATCCTCTCCTCCTCCTCCTCCTCCTCCTCCTCCACCACCAACACTGCCACCATCGACTCCGTCCCTCTTTAACATCTCCACCAGCTGTTTTAGTATCACTGTTCTATTCCTTCCACAACTGGGATTCTGCTTCTTGCTCAATTGGCAGCCGGAGTTCGGATTGTTACTGGGGACTGTTAAGTCGTGAAGTAGAAACTCAGGAGAGAACTCCTTGGACCTCCATGGGTCCGATAATAACCCGGCCCTAACCGGATTCAGACCCGGATCCCAATTAGAGTTTTTCCCCTCGATTTCCAAACCCCAGACGGCCGCGAGCTCCGCGGAAAGGGGGCACCCGGAGATTCCCTCGACGGATTCCCGATCGTGGGCGGCGGAGACGGCGCCGCAGCTGCCGTGGGCGTCCCAGTCGCACTCCTGGCAGAGCACGAGGTTCTCCGAGGAGCAGCGGAAGGAAACCGGCTCGGAGCCGCAGGTATCGCAGATCTGAAACCGGACGTGCTTGCGCGACAGCGCGTTGGCGGAGTGCACGTGGTGGTCGCACAAAAGGCAGAGCTTGGCGGCGTCAGCGCGGCAGAAGAGCACGGCGGCCCGGTCGGTGCAGTAATCGCAGGGGACGCCGCCGGGAGTGGAGTCCGGGCCCACCAAATCAGCTCCGAGAACGTCGGAGCAGCGATAATCCCCCTCCATTGGGCCGGAAAACGATGGGGGGAATAGAAAAGTGGCTTTCTTTCAATTCAATTCTCGAGAAAACGAAATCCGAAAAGGGTCTGTCAGCTCATCCTAGCTCATATCCAATCTCAGCTGTCCCTTGTGGAAGCTTTGGGAAAGCAAATCATTCCGGGAGAGGTAAAAAGTACGGAGTAAAATCATGGATTGCGGCAGAGAAAAATAACTAACGTCCTCCTCCCCCAAACTAATTGTCACCTATCAATTCATAAAATGCTAGGGGTACACCAAAAGTGTACTCCAAATATTCTTACCCCCTCCATAACCATAAAAAAAGGTAAGTAAAATTCAAAAATAAAATAAAAAATAAAAATAAAATGAATGGTGTAGAGATAAGTGGTGTACATTTGGGATACACCTTGGTGTACCCCTAGCATCTCCCAAAATAAAATAAATACCGAGTATATCATTATTTCTTTGATGGGATTTTTTATATTTAAATATATAGGTTACATTTTTTATTCTCATACTATTTTGTAAATAGAATCATTTTTTAATAATATTGACTCTATTACAAAGTAATTTCTATTCATATTATTCTCAATCTAATAACACACAAAAATTCAATGTTTTGTCTCCGATGAAACTCAAATCTGGGTGAATTTTCTCATGAATCATGGGAAATGTACTTCCGACCACTCAAGTCAGGAGAAAGGTTTAGAATTATTTTTAGAAAAAATGAAATTTTTACGCATTGTTCGAACAAAAAAACTAATGTCATGTTCTCTTCACATGATCTGAATGATTCTGATTTGATTGAAATAAGTTCCAATATAAATTGATCTGATCTGAATGTTGTTATATTTAAATTATTTATAATCTGATGTGATCTGATTTGATCTAGTCTGTTTTCTAATTCTAATAAAAAAAGTAATAAATAATAAGAATAAGTTTAAGAAAACCTGACCTGATTCGAGACATGTAAAGTAAATCCTTTAATATAAAATTTGAGAGTTTGATGTTTAGATTGTTGACATGTGGCAGTTTTAGAGTCCTATTTTTTTGACAAGTAAGCGTACATGTGTCTCTCTTTGGTTTAAGTAACCGAAACTTCCCGAAAGCAAATTCATAGCCGCGATGCAAAAGGAAAGAATCCCCTTTCTTCTTAAAAATCTTCTTCCTGATGCAGTTTTTCAATGAAGGAAAGAAATCTTTTTGCCCAAATCTTTGGCTGGAAAACTAATGCTTGGTTCACAAACTCAAACTTTACAAACTTCACAAACTTACTATTTGTGAACTTCAATAAAGAAAATTAAATAGTCTAAACTAATTTTAAAATAAGAACTTAAACCATAAATAGTAAGTTTGTGGAGTTTGTGATCATTCTGTTTGTGAACGTAGCATTGCTCTTTCCCCTATTACTCTTCGCCAAAAAGATCCCGAGAAAGATTTCTATTTTGCCATTTCGAGAAAGATTTCTGTTTTGCCATTTCGAAGGTATTCTCCATCAAAAAAATTTCCGAAGAATCTGCTCTCACTATTACTCCGGGTATGTCTTCTCTTCTTTGCCGATTTGCCGAAGGAAAGACTTCAATTTAGCCGGCATGTCTTCTCCACTTAAAGGAAACTCTTGAATTTAGAACATTTGTGTTCGGTCTTCGCTTCTTCA